CCCCGCCCCCCTCCGCTGCTCCTCGCCTCCCCTGCCTCTCCTGTGCCTCTCCTGCCCTCGCCGCTCCTCCCTCTCACCCCCTTCTCCCTCCCCCCTCCCTCCCCCTCTTCCCTCTGTTCCCCTCTCCTCCTCTTGCTCGCCCTCCCCCTCCACGATGGCAACATAGGAATGCTTCACTCCTCTCCCCCGGGAAGATTCTTAAACAAAGTGGCCCGCCCCCCATCCGCGCGCGTTTCACACACACACATACACACACACACACGCACACACCAAATCACACACACACACACACATCCACACACGCACACGATTTCAAACATTGATATGTCTCAAGTGTTGTCTAACGTTCCAAATGTCTTCGGTATTTGAAAATGGTGCTCCCGCTGCAGCATGGGCCTCATTCTCGGATCCGCGCTTTGCTCCCGTCGTTCAGACAGGCGCTCTCGCCCCAGCGTGGGCCACTTTTCAGGGTCCGAATCTAGCAATATTGTGGTCCCCCCCCTCGTTTCCCCGCCTCCGCCTTCCCCTGGTCCTCCTGCTCCTCCCGCTTTTTTCACTCCAATTCCTGCTGCTGCTCGTCTCGCCCCAGCGAGGGTCACGCTTTTCTAACTCCTGATATGGCTTCATCGTTGTAACCCACTTCACTTCCCCTTTTCCACCTTCCCCTGGTCCTCCGTTTCTTCCCTACCCGTCCTCTTGAGTTCCTGCTGCTGCTGCTGCTGCTGCTGCTGCTGCTGCTGCTGCTGCTGCTGCTGCTGTTCGTCCTCGTATTTGTTCCTCCCGCTCATCCGCCACCTCCTCCGACTGTGCACGCAGCTCCCGTTCTGCCGACTGCGTATGCCACGACGTGGTCTTTCTGTGGGAGTCGCAAGTCGGTTACGGCACGCGTCCGCGAATAATAAAACATCAGCTCCCCCTGTTCTTCCTCCTCCCCTCCTCCTCTTTCTCGCCCTCCTCCTCGTACTCGTCCTTCCCCTCCTCCTTCCCCTCCTCCTCCTCCTCCTCCTCCTCCTCCTCATCTCCTCCTCCTCCTCCTCCTCCCCTTCCTCTCCTCCTCCTCCTCCTCCTCCTCCCCCCTCCTCCTCCTCCTCCTCCTCCTCCTCCTCCTCCTCCTCCTCCTCCTCCTCCTCCTCCTCCTCCTCCTGCCTCCTCCTGACTCCTCCTCCTCCTCACCCCCTGCCGCCTCCAGCGCAGCCCTCCGCTCCGCCCAGGGCCTGACCTGCAAGCGCAGGTCGCAACTGGGCCCGGCGGGCGCCATCCCAATGCGCCTTCTGGGCCCGACGCCCCAACCGCGCGAGGATCGCCTCCCGGCAGTGCCCGTCGGAGGCGCCCAGCTCGAACGCGCCGCCCCGCCGATCAAGATCCCGCCGCGGCCTGCTTGGCCCGCTTGGGCATGTCCGTGACTTGCTTGGATCGCGCCAATATCTTGCGCTCCGTCGACGGCGCGTCATCGCCGGGCAGCTCCTCCGAGCGCGTGGCCCAGTTGGCGACGCACAGAGATTAACTCGCTGTATATTCGCCGAAGTGGCTATCCCGTGCGCAATCTGGTTGTTCACGAGGGCGGGCCACTAGCGGCGCTTGTAGAGGGCCGACCGGAGGAGCGCCTCCACGAGAGACAGTCCCAAGTCATCTGGGCAATCGCGACCTTGAAGCGTCCGCAGCCTCGCGCCGCCAACACCCATCAACTCGTCTTCCACGGCGATGGGCGGGGGGGATGCCCGCCCGACCTGCCTTCTCCTCCCAGCCGCGCTTGTTCCAATCATTCAAGCTGTATTCGATGTCGGCCAGCAAGCTGCAGTGGGTGCGCCTCTTCCGGAGGAGTGGGCTTAGCCGCCTGGGGCGCTGGGCCCCTTCGTTTCCCTGGCGACCGCGCTCCGGCCCGCGGCCGCGGTCGGCCGCTGGCGGCGGCGGGGGGCGGGCCCCGCCGGCCAAGCTCCGGCGTCGAGCGCCGCCCCCCGATCTCCGCCTCCAAGGCGGACGGGCGCGCCCGTTCCCCCTGGGGGGTCGGCCGGGGGCGGCGGCGGCGGGGGCGGCTCCGCCGCGGGCGCCCTCAAGGCGGCCATCCAACTCTCCTCGCAGACCGCCGCCCGACTGACCCCTCGACGCTCGTTGACGATCTCCCCAGTCCCTCGAGCCCCTCAGCTCCTCTGTCTCCGCGACGCTGCAGCGCTCGAGGCGAGGGGCTGCCGGCGACTGCCCACTGGCGCTGCGCGCCTCACTCGGGTCCGCGAATCCCTCCGACAGCTGGAGTCTCTCGGCTGCGTCGAGGGGGCCCGAAGAGGCGCGGCCCCCCTGCGAACGCCTCTTCGAATGCTCGACGCCCAGCGCCGCGGGCCCCTTCCGCCCCCCAATCCCGGCCGCCGCCCGGCTCGCCACTTGCCCGAGCTCTGCCCGCGAGAGGTCAGCCCGCGAACCCGGGGCGGCGCCGGGGAGCGCGCCGCTGGTTGTTCGTCCCGGAACCCCCTCTCTCGCGAAAGCCCCGGGGGCGTCCTCGACCTCCTTCGCGGGTTGCCCCCCCCAACCTCTGCTTCTGTTTCCCAGCGCGGCCAAGATCTGCGACGCCTGGCAGCCAGCGAAACTCCGCCCCCCCATCAGGGGAATGACAATAAAGAAAACAGATCAGCCAGCGTTGACTCCAAACTGTTTAGACGACTCAAATCAAGGAATCAGAGCAACCATGCACGGCTGGAATCCGCAACTCAGCAAGCAAGCAAGCGCGCAAGCAAGCGCGCAAGCAGGTAGGCAAGCAAGCAAGCAAGCGCGCAAGCAAACGAGCAAGCAAGCGGGCATAGGCATAGGCGTAGGCATTGGAGTTTGGGGGAAGGAATAGGCATAGGCGCAGTCATAGGAACTGGGGGGGTGCATCGGATTTTTCATTTTGGGGGACAGCGGACCAATTAGTAGGGTTTGAGCAAGGGCTCCTCTAGGGCAAGCTTAGTTGGAAAAAATTCTATTCCAGAGCTGATCGAGTTGTCTGGAGACTGTTTCCTTGCACTCTGAATTCTCTGCCCATCGAGCTTCGTGCCTCTTTGAGCTGCATCCTGCGGCGTCGATCCGAAACGCGAGGCGAGCTGCTGACCCGCCCATCTCTCCCCTCACTCCCCGCCCACCAAGCTCCACCGACCCCCCCCCTCCCCGCGCATCAATAGGCGGCTTACTAATGGGGCCGCGGGAACGGACAGCAAGCTCAAGGTCGAAAGGCGAAGCATGGCGCGGTCCCCCGATCGCCCGACCTTTGAGTTCGGGGGCCCACCCAGGGAACAGCCTCTGGGTCGCTCTGCTTATGAGTCTGCGGAGGGCCGTAGAACCGTCTTGCGGCTTCGAGCGCGCCCTGCGACGCGCCTCGATTGCGCCCCAACTGCATATATGCGCCGCAGGTCGTTCAAAACAAGACAATGGACCCTCGCATCTCGCGGCGCCCAGCACCCGATACGGGCGCGCTTCTGGGCCCCCAGCTCAGCCCTGCACGCGCTGCCGCGCTGCTGCGCTGACAGAGGCCTAGCGAAAGAAAGAACGAGTGGGGCCTGATGACGCCGGCAGTTGCATGTGACACGGCAGCGACAAATTGAACCCGCAACAAAAAGGCCCGAGGACGAGTGGCGCGTGCGCGTGCGTTCTGGCAGACGACGCCGGCGCGAACCGAAACGTGACTGGCCCCCTCCCCCCTGCCTCCCCCTCCCCCCGGTCACGCCCGTTGTCGCCAGGGGACACAAAAAAAACTGGCGCCTGCACGCTGTCGCACCAGGACGGCACGCCGCATAACCACTCCCGCAATTGTTAGGTCGGGCATGTCCCCCTACAGGCGGACATTGGACGAAAAATTAGAAGTACACCAAAAAAGTATTCATGAATGGTCCACAAATATTCAAACAAATGTCCTCAAACTAGTTGTGGACTATTTTTGAATAGTCCTCCTATAGAGGGACAGGCCCGACCTAACGCAATTGCATGATCTGAGCAGAAGTTGCGGTGAGCCAGGCCCGTCACCGCAGCGGCGCGCGCGGCCAAGGAGGACCGGAGAAGGAGGCACCCGCCAGGCGAAGCGGAGCCCTTGCGCGCAGCAGGGGTCGAGGAGGGCGCAGAAGGAGGAATCGATGCAGCCTGGAGACTGACGGAGGCGGAGCCTTGCGAGAAAGTGGAAGGGGTGCCGTCGCAGAACCACGGCTGCGGTCCCACCCCGACCGGGCTCTCTCGCGCGCTGCAGGGGTCGAGGAGGGAGCGAGAGGAGAAGTCGACACAGCCTGCCACGAGGCGGAGGCGGAGTCCTGCGAGAGAGTGGAGGGAGTGCCGTCGCAACACCGTGGCTGCGGTCCCACCCCGACCAAACTCTCTGGCGAGCTGCAGGAGGAGCAAGAAGGAAGCAGAAGAAGTCGATGCGGCCTGGAAATATAGACAGAGGCGGAGTCTTGCGAGAAAGTGGAAGGAGTGCCGTCGCAACACTATATGGCTGCGGTCCCACCCCGACCAACGTGTCTTCGGTCCGACCCCAGCCAACAAACACATCTTGAACGCTGCAGGATCAAGGAGAGAGGAGAAGCAAGGGTTGACGCAGCCTGAGAGGAGAAGGAGGCACAAAACTGTGAGACAACGAACGGGAGTGCCGTCAGTGCAGTGGCTGCGTGCGGTCTCACCACGACCAAAAGCACTGCAACAAGAGAGTGGGAGAGAGATACACACAGATTCAGACATATATACATACGGATGAGGAATTAGAAAGGGAAAGAGAGAGAGAGGGAGAAAAGAGAGAGAGAGAGAGCGAGAGAGACAGAGAGAGACAGAGAGAAAGGAAGAGAGAGGAATAGAGAGAGAGAGAGAAACAAAAAAAAACGACAGGGAGGGGGAGAGAGAGAGAGAGAAACAAACAAAAAGATAAACAAAACAACCCATAGCGCAAAACAACAAAAAACAAAAACAAAAATGATAGAGAGAGAGAGAGAGCAAGAGAGAGCAAGAGAGAGCAAGAGAGAGAGAGGGAAAGAGAAAGAGGAAGAGAGACAGACAGAGAGATAGAGAGTACAAAATGAAGAAAGGGAGGAAGCCAGAGAGAGAGAGTGGTCTGTCACATTCTAACAGCTGCAGTTGCATCTTGAACCAAGACAAACTGCGAGACAATGGAGCGGGATGCCATCCCTGCCCGAAGGACGCGGTCCCAACCCGTCCACGTCCAAAAGAACTGCGAGAATAGAGAGAGAACAGGACTACGTCACAACCGTTGACCAGGAAGAAACATCGCGCCTGCACTGTGCTCCCGAGTGTCTCCTGGATGTCGACTACCGAATCGTCAACAAGCGAAGCGTAATGATAGCACATCAAAGATGCACAAGTTACGCGTAGCGGGGCCCACCTTGAAGCCACACGGGGCTGCTCTGTAGCCAGTCCTGCACTGTCCTTGGCCACTCCGGCGGCCGTGTGAACATCGACGTCGTGCGTTTGGCTGAGACTCGGCCACAACCGTGGGGCCGCTAAAGATCGTCATGGGCCGTCCGGGGCCTGGCGACGGGCTGTGAGACGGTGGGCGGAGCCTCCATACGAGAGAAAACCCCAAGCCCCCGACCACTGAGTATCGTTTAACCGATCCCCATCCCCAGCAGCGTGGCCTGGGCCCCGCTGGCCGATTTACCCCCTAGATGGGGATATAGGTCGTTTTCTTCGGGTTTCGAAGGGTGTGTCCCCAACTGGGGTGGTAATTTGGCGGGGGTCTCGAAGGGGATACAGATAGGGATGGGGATCGGTTAAACGATACCGAACCACTGCTCATGGGGGCGTTCCTAACATGTGTGTTTCCAGCTTTGACCCCAAACAACGGCTTGTCATATGGAGCGGAATATATGTGGTGCAGTCGGCGTGGCACATCCCATGTAAGGCAACCTGCATGGTAAACTCCAGATGGTGTAATTCACTTTGACCGTCTTGAAGCTGTCCTCTCTACTGCTCGTGCAAACATCCCACCCTCCCACCCGCAACTTGGTCGCAAGACTTCTTAAGACAAGACCGTGACGGTAGGTACCACATGGCACTTGGCCACGACACCGACGCCGACGACGACAGCGACAACGACGACGACGGCGCCGCAGACACCGACTACGACGACACCGCCGACGTCGACGTCGACGAAGACGACGACGACGCCGACGCCGACGACGACGACGAAGACGACGACGACGTCGCCAACGGAGACGACGACGAGGGAGGAGAAAAAACAACGACGGCGACAACGACGACAACGACGATGGAGGAGGGAAGACGGCGACGACGCGAACGACGAAGAAGGAGGAAGGACGGCGACGCCGACGACAACAACGACGAGGGAGAAGGGAAGACGACGACGACGACAACGACGACGAAGACGACGACAACGGCGACGAAATAGGAGGGACGACGACGAGACGCCGACGACGGACGACGACGACGACGAGGGAGGAAGATAACGACGAGGGAGGAGTGAAGACCACGACGACGACGACGACGACGACGACGGCGACGAAATAGGAGGGACAACGACGAGACGCCGACGAAGACGACGAGGGAGGAAGGACGACCACGGCGACAACGACGACGGAAGCGACGACGACGCCAAGACGACGACGGCGATGAGGAAAGACAGAAGACGACGGCGACGACGACGACGACGACGAGGGAGGACGGACGACGACGACGACGACGACGACGCAAGAGCGCGCGCGCACGCTTTTGTTTAGGATCCATGTTGCGAAACCTTGGGTTTTTGTATGTTTTTTGGACGCACGATTTTGAAATCCTTCCGAAACCGATGGGTTTTGAAGGTTTTCGGCATACGCCCGCGACGACGCGCGTGTCTGCAATTCGTCCCATTTTTTTGCAGAAGATTCTCGCGACGGCACACGCGCAAGGGCGTTCGACAGATTTCGACATTCGCGCGCGCGCGAAGCCCGTTTGGTAGCATTTTGCGAAAATCTTGAAAAACCTATGGTTTTCTTAAGATTTCGCAAGAGCTCGCGCGGAAGCTTTTTTAGCAAATCAGTGTTGCGAAACCCTGTGTTTTCGTATGTGCTTTGGAAACTCGATTGCGAAATCCTTCCGGTACCGAAGGTTTGTGAAGGATTTCGGCATGCGCGCGCGACGACGCGCGCGTGCGCACTTCGTCCCATTTTTTCGAAGGGATTCGTGAAAAAGTGCTATGTTCGAGCAACAAATGTCACCGCATAGTGTTTTTTACCAGGGAACCTCAGGGGGGGGGGAACCCGGCCTGCCTGGGATGGTATGATTTCATAGTTAGGATGGACGAGTGTGCAGAAAATATATGAAATCACATTATCCCAGGGGGAAGCAATAAGTCCGGGGGGGGTAGAGTCTATATTCTCTTTGTAGAAAAGAGAATTCACCCACCGCGCAACAGCGTGGGTGGTCCCAAGAGCGTCTTCTTCCTTCTTCCCCTTCGAGGGGGGATCTCCCCCTCCTCCCTATCCCCTCCCCTGGTCTGGACTAAAAGGGGACCGCGAGGTGTCAGAGAGTCCTTTTTGGCCTAAGACGGCTCTAAGAGGGCCACGGATAATCCAAAAAGGCCTCCAAGATAGCTCGAGATTGCACCAGATGGCTGAACAGAACCACCAACATGCCTCCAAGAGGCCCCAAGACCACTCCACGACGGCTCCAAGAGCGGCCACGAAGCGTCCTGGGGAGACCTCTGAGAGGCCAAAATCTTTCTCAAAGAGCTGAGGTGCTTCGATGTCGTGTGGCGTCTCGCCTTTTTCGCTCCCGAGGGACTCCGAGGCCGAAAGATGGCGCAGGATCACCCAAGAGAGCCTCGAGAGGGGACCACGAATGGTCCAAGATGGCTCCAAGAGCGCCCCAGGAGCGGGACCCGCGTCAGGTTCCAGAATCACCCTGGAACGGTTCCGGGGTGAAAATTGGAACCTGAAACGGCTGATTTTCCATCTGGGCACTCTCGGGAGCCTTGCGGGCGCATCTCGGGGATGGGGGGAAGTGCACCCGAGCTCCCAAAATTGTCATTATCCAAATGAAATCTCTTCTTGGGGAGCTTGTTTTTCGCGGCTGGGCCCTCCCGCGCAGCGTCGGGATTCCCAGATGGATTTTCACCACGGAACCGTTCCAGGGTGAAAATCCACCTGGGACCCTCTCCCGGCGCAAAACGGCTCTGTCGGGGATGGGAGGGGGTGCACCCGAGCTCCCAAAAATTTCAATTTTCCAAATGAAATGGGGAGCTTGTTTTTCGCGGCTGGGCTCTGCCGCGCAGCGTCGGAGATCCCAGATGGATTTTCACCACGGAACCGTTCCAGGGTGAAAATCCATCTGGAACTCTCTCCCAACGCAAAACGGCTCTGTCGGGGACGGGGGGGGTGCACCCGAGCTCCCAAAATGGCCATTTTCCAAATGAAATCTCTTGTTGGGGAGCTTGTTTTTCGCTGCTGGGCTCTGCCGCGCAGCGTCGGGAGGTCCCAGATGGATTTTTACCGAGGAACCGTTCCAGGGTGAAAGTCCATCTGGAACCCTCTCCCGACGCAAAACGGCTCTGTCGGGGAGGGGGGGGGCATCCGAGCTCCCAAAATGGCAATTTTCTCACTGAAATCTCTTATTGGGGAGCTTGTTTTTCGCGGCTGGGCTCTGCCGCGCAGCGAGGGGAGGTCCCATATGGATTTTCACCGAACCCTTTCCCGACGCAAAGCGGCTCTGTCGGGGATGGGGGGGGGGTGTACCCGAGCTCCCAAAATGGCAATTTTCCAAATGAAATCTCTTTTGGGGAGCTTGTTTTTCGCTGCTGGGCTCTGCCGCGCAGCGTCGGGGTGAAAATCCATCCGGAACCCGCTCCCGACGCAAAACGGCTCTGTCGGGGATGGGGGGGGGGTGCGCCCGAACTCCCAAAATGGCAATTTTCCAAATGAAATCTCTTACTGGGGAGCTTGTTTTTCGCGGCTGGGCACTCCCGCGCAGCATCGGGAGGTCCCAGATGGATTTTCACCCCGGAACCGTTCCAGGGTGAAAATCCATCTGGAACCCTCTCCCGACGCAAAACGGCTCTGTCGGGGATGGGGTGGGTGTACCCGAGCTCCCAAACTGGCCATGTTCCAAATGAAATATTGTATTGAAGGGCTTGGTTTTCGCGGCTGGGCCCTCCCGCGCAGCGTCGGGAGGTCCCAGATGGATTTTCACCCCGGAACCGTTCCAGGGTGAAAATCCATCTGGAACCCTCTCCCGACGCAAAAAGGCTCTGTCGGGGATGAGGGGGTGTACCCGAGCTCCAAAATGGCAATTTTCCAAATGAAATCTCTTATTGGGGGGTTTGTTTTTCGCGGCTGGGCCCTCCCGCGCAGCGTCGGGAGGTCCCAGATGGATTTTCACCCCGGAACCGTTCCAGGGTGAAAATCCATATGGAACCCCCTCCCGACGCAAAAGCGGCTCTGTCGGGGATGGGGGGGGGGGGCCCGAGCTCCCAAAATGGCAATTTTCCAAATGAAATCTCTTATTGGGGAGCTCGAGCTTGTTTTTTCGCGGCTGGGCCCTCCGCGCGCAGCGTCGGGAGGTCCCAGATGGATTTTCACCCCGGAACCGTTCCAGGGTGAAAATCCATCTGGGAAACCTCTCCCAACGCAAAACGGCTCTCTCGGGGATGGGGGGGGTGTACCCGAGCCCCCAAAATGGCAATTTTCCAAATGAAATCTCTTATTGGGGGAGCTTGTTTTTCGTGGCTGGGCCCTCCCCTTGAGGCCAAGCCACCTGTGCATCTGATTATCTGCAAAAAAAAAAGAGTTGGGGGGCTCCCCAGATGGAGTTTCACTCCGGAACCGTTCAAATTCCATCTGAACCCCTCCCCCGAACGCAAAACAGTGCTCTGTCGGTGATGGGGGGGGGTGCGCCCGATCTCCCAAAATGTCATATATCCTCACTGAAGATCTCTTAATTGGGAAGCTGTTTTTCGCGGCTGGCTCTGCCGCGCCAGCGTTCGGAGTCCAGATGTTTTTCACCCCGAACCGTTCCAGGGTGAAAATCCATCTGGAACCCTCTCCCGGCGCAAAACAGCTCTGTCGGGGATGGGGGGGGTGTACCCGAACTCCCAAAATGGCAATTTTCCAAATGAAATCTCTGTTTGGGGGGCTTGTTTTTCGCGGCTGGGCCCTCCCGCGCAGCGTCGGGAGGCCCCAGATGGATTTTCACCCCGGAACCGTTCCAGGGTGAAACTCCATCTGGAACCCTCTCCCGACGCAATACGGCTCTGTCGGGGATGGGGGGGGGTGTACCCGAGCTCGGGAGGTCCCAGATGGATTTTCACCCCGGAACCGTTCCAGGGTGAAAATCCATCTGGAACCCTCTCCCGACGCAAAACAGCTCTGTCGGGGATGAGGGGGGGTG